TATTATATTATATTATATTATATTATATTATATTATATTATATTATACACATACATTAGAATGACTATTAGAATAACTTGCAGGCTGTGGTCCAGCTAGTCCATCAATGGCTGCCTATGACCAGAAGGGCCTAGAACCCAGTAGCTGCTCAGTGCAGAGGCTGCATGTCTCAGCTGCTCTTCCGTCTCGCCAGCATCCTGAAGAAGTGGGCCAGGGAAAAGCTAGACTTGCTAGCTAGGTGAGAGCAAGCAGGCAAAGAGCGAGAGGCTTCCTTCCTCCATGTCCTTATCTAGGCTTCCAGCTCACAGTGTGGCTCTTTCCCCTCAAAGATCTGGACGAGAAGTGGATCTTCCTGCTTTAAATGATTTATGTAAGCAAAAACTCCCTCACTGCTGTGTCCAGTCATTTTTGGAGTTTCAGTTAATTCCAGATATAGTCAGCTTCACAGCCAAGAACAGTCATCACAAGCTGGGCATGGTGGCGCACACCTTTAACCCCAGCACTTAGAGGCAGAGGTAGGAGGATCTCTGAGTTGAAGACCAGCCAGGGCTACACAGAGAAACCCTGTCTCAACAACCCCCTCTCCCACCACTCCAAAAGAATAACCATCACGGTGTGTGTGGCTGTGTGGGCAGGGTGGTACATGCCACAGTGTCTGTGTGGTCATCAGAGGACAGCTTCGTAGGCCAGTTCTGTCCTTCCACCTTTACATGGGTTCTCTGTAGTAAACCTGAGCTACCAGGTGGCTCTAACAGTTTGTATATCTTTCCATATACAATACGTAATAATATATATGTAAATATTGTAATATGAAAATAATGTAATAGGCAAAATATTTAAATTTCATATGTAAATAATACAGTCGTGGTACAGTATATAAATATGTATTAAATATTCAGTTTTGTTTACTATATGAGTAACTAATTGTCATTAAAAATCAGAAATTTCAGAAAAAAATATCAGATGATACAATAAATCTTTATTAAAGGGGTTCTGTTTTATCAGCATCCCCCTGCACCAGGATCAAAGCTCTCACAGCAGCCCCTGTGAGCCCAATGGCTGGAAGAAATCCCACCTTAGCCAGGCCCTGGTTCCTCTGACTCTTGGCCGCTGTTGCCTTTTCTGTTGTAGCTGCCTACACTCACAGGGTACACCAGTACCACGGGGAAAGCGGTGCTACCTGCTCAGCTTTGTAGAAGCAGAAACGCTCATCTACGAATGGGCTTTCCCTCCGGATTACAGGTACACAGTCAAGGAGCCTGCCATAGGTCAGAGCATACTGACATTCTGGCATTTTCCAGTGTAAAATATTTTCCCAGAATAATCAGCTTCTTATCCTGTTAGCCTTGGAGACAATTTTTCTTCCAACGTGTTTTCAAATACCAAGGACAACAGGGCCTCTCAAGAGCAGAGAGCAGTGGGCTGTCTATTCACTAAACAACAGCAAAGTGCTCTCCTATCCACTGGGCAAGAGGTGTGCGGAGCAGAGGAAGCAGCAGCCACTGAGCCCTAACTGCTCTCCTCGCTTCTGTTCCAGGCGAGGGCTTCCACAACTACCATCACGCCTTCCCCTACGACTACTCTGCCAGTGAGTACCGCTGGCACGTCAACTTCACCACGTTCTTCATCGACTGCATGGCTGCCCTCGGCCTGGCTTACGACCGGAAGAAAGTATCTAAGGCTGCTGTTCTAGCCAGGATTAAAAGGACTGGAGATGGGAGCCACAAGAGTGGCTGAGTTTGGGGGTCTTCTGGGTTTCTAATCCAAAAGCCAGCTGAACAGAGGTTTAACAATGTTATGATGTTCCACAGAGTCCCATTTCAAGACAGTATTCTTGTAAAATATTCAAATATTAAAAGGCAAACTCTTTTATGATGCTGAGCAGAAACTTTTTCTGTTCTTAGTCTTCTCTTCCAGGGGCCTTTTTATTCCTTCTCATTTCCCTTTTATTACTTTATTGCCTTCCAGGTAAGCTGCAGGTGAGCAAAAGGTTGGAACAGACCTTTGAAAGCTCAGCAAATGTTTTTGTTTTGTTTTGTCTTTTTAATTAAAGAACTCCACTTATAGCACACTTTCCTAGATCTCTCTTGAGCCTTAAGGAAGATGTCTCAAGCTAAAACTCCAACCAGGTCTTCCTGGATGTTCCCTGTTTACTATCCTCAGGCCACATAAAAGATGAAAACAGACACACACAATACATACACACACCACCAAAAAGACAAAACAAAACAACAACAACAAAACACCTGACTTCCCTGGCACAGAGCTTGCATTGCATTAAAATATCAGGGGAGAGAGCTGCCATGCCAGCTATGCTCCTTAGGCTGGGATCATGTTACACAAAATAGTTATAAAAAATGGTCTTCCTGTGCTCAGACCCAGCTGCTCCCCAGGCACACCTGCAGCCCCTCCCACGGCTTTGTTCTTTTCTGTCTTGACCCCAGAGCCTGGCAATGAAATTCCTCCCATTAAAAGACAAAAGATGGAAAGTTTGAGGGATAGTGTTGGTAGGCAGATTCTGAGAGACATCTTTCCAAGGAAAAGCTGTTTGGATTAAAGATTTCCTGATCAGGGGCTCTTCTGAAACAGCTTCAAAGCTGTGTACCTTTATTAGTCCAATTTGCTCCTTGGATGGATTAAAATCCAGGCATCCCTGCACAGTGTCTTGCTCCTTGCCTCATTCCTTCCTGTTATGTTTTATGTTCATGATTATCCTAGGCCAGTGATTATTTGTTGCATATAACTGGCTTAATGAAGCAGCTGGGAGATGCTGTGCAGGCTGCTAGGGGAGAATTTTCCCTAACAACCTTCCTTGGCTGTGGACGCTGTAGTCAGTGAATGGACTGGTCAAGCAACATGCCCACCAGTACGATAGCAGCAAGTCCGGTAGGAGGGGTAACCAACTGATCCGTGGGTAGATTTGAGACCCACTCCCTAGAAGGCAATTCAGACAGCCTGTGGCTGGGGGACAGTGAGATGGTTCAGCAGGCAAAAGCACTTGCTGCAAAAGCCTGATGACCTAAAGCCGATCCCAGAGGCCCTGCACAAAGCTGAATGCAGTGGCGCGTTTCTGTAATTCCAGTCCACCTATGGAGAGATGGGAGGCACAGAAAGGAAGACCGCCTAGAAGCTTGCTGGCCAGCTAGACAGGAGTAGCTTGGCAAAAGAGACCCTGCCTCAGAAACAAGGTAAAAGAACTGACTCCCATCAGAGACCTGTGAAGAATAAATTAGAGCAGGGAGTATAATCCAAACAGCCTATGAGTTGATTAAAGTGACAGAGACTTATCCATTACCTAGACAACCACCCCACTGGGCACCTGTGGTGTCAATGGCTTCACCAAGGGCACAGGTCCCAGGGGACATCAGTCTTCGGCTGCCAGGACCAGTAAACTTTTCTGTGAAGCAGGAACTTGGGAAGGCTCTCCTATCTTTGGCTAGGCTGCCTGTCCACAGTTTGCTTTATACCATGTGGTCATCTTAAGACAGTGAAGCCAAATGACAGGTTGTAAGTCATAGGATTGACATGGTTACTATCTAAAAACATTTGTGTTAATATATATATTACATAATAGTAGGTATATGTTATATAATATTATGTTATATTGTAACAATATATATGTTGTATAATTATGTTAATATATATAACTAATATATATATTTGTTGGTTGGTTTTGGTTTTTGGTTTTTCGAGAGAGGGTTTCTCTGTGTACCTGTGGCTGTCCTGGACTCACTTTGCAGACCAGGCTGGCTTGAACTCACATCAGTTTTCTTGATTCTGCCTCCCTGAGTGCTGGGATTTAAGGTGTGTGTCACCATACCGAGCTGCTAGATATATATTTTTAAAATGAGAGTTGCATTCAAGTTACATGCACATATACACAGAGTTACATACACACAGGGAGTAGAATTTGAGTTGCATACACATATACACACATATACATGCCCTAAATACAAACTGAATCATATATATGTATAGATTTTTAATTATAAGCCTTTTATTATAAGTTTAAAGTCAAATATTGCTGTAGATTATATAGATTTTAAACCATAGCCAATGAGCAACTTATAAATCCTTAGATAAGAGTTTGCAGCATAATCTTAAGATTTTTTTTTCTTGTGAGAGCAGAGTGCAAAGAAATCAGAGATAAAAGATTTTTTTAAGAGTGGGAAGATAGAGGCTTTGGGAGCGTAGAGCAGAGCAGGCTTAGATAAGATAGTTTGGGATAATTTGTCTGTTAGTGGTGAGATCCTGGAAATCAGGTGTGCCGACTTGTAATGAAATCTGAGCCATGAAGGAACAGAGAGGGTGTCTGGCTTATTGCAGGCCAGCTGCAGGTAGGCAGGAAGGGCCTGTGGTCCACACGGGCAGGCTCAGAGCTAGAGCCATGTTCAAGACAGACCGGCTAAGGAAATGGACTCTAGGATTCATAATTAAATGCACAGACAAATGATCCACAGGCACATCAGCTCAGCAATTTGATTCAAGCAGCTGTTGCCGTGAGAACAGCTGGGTTGATGAGAAGGAGGGCGAAAGCTCAGTTTCCCAAAACCTGGTCTCAGACTACAGTTGTCCACAAAAGATCTGAGGCAAGCCCAGTTTGGATAAATTTCCTAGCAGACACCAGGGGTTTGTGGGAACTGATCTTAGACCTGGCAGCACCCAGACCTGAAACCATGGGGTGGCATCTCAGCCAACAGCCTACGGTAGAACAGTTTTGGGGGTAGCTTTGGGCCAGACATCTTCGTATCAGAGGCTCCCCAAAACAAAAATTGTCCTTGTTACAGAGTTCAAAACTGATCGCATCAGGCAGAGAGAAAGCTAGGGGGAAGTAGGCCAGGCCTTAGCCAGGCCTGCCGGGCTTTGGGTGGGCTTCAGCTTCTCCAAGGCTCCTCACCAAATAATAGCTTATCTCACTGATGGAATGAGCCGATTCAAGCCAAATTAAAAGTATGAAAGCAGGTTTATTGGGAGCAGCTCTCAGGAGGGGGTCAGTGAAGCTGCCAAGCAGAGGGAGACAGAAAGCTGGGTGGGAGGTGAGGGTCAGTAAGTGCACAGAGAGAAAGAACTCCAAGGACAGAGAGAGAGAGGGATGGCCCAGGTGGAACACACCTGCTGCACCTGCCGTCAGGTCATGACCTAAGCAACTGCCAGGTCCCTGATTGCCAGCAGAATTGCCTGTACTCTAACACTTCGGTTTGACTGATTATTTGAGACAGGGTCTCACTGTGTATCCAAGGAGCTCTTGGACTCACCGAGATCCACTGTTTCTGCCTCTCCAGTGTCTGGATTTCTTAGAATATCTTTTTTTTTTCTTTTAAAGATTTTATTTTGTGTGAATGTTCTGTCTGCAAGTGTACCTGAATGCCAGAAGACAGAGCGTTATATTCCAGTGTAGAGGGCTGTGAGCTACCATGTGGATACTGGGAATTGAACTCGGGACCTCTGGAGGAGCACACAGTGCTCTTAACCGAGCTGTCTCTCCAGCCCCTTATTAGAATATGTTAACATTAAACCACAGCTGAATTTTAACAGGCCTCTGTCCACTCTATTCTGTTCTCAGCTCCTCATGGGCATTGTTCCCTGCTGGAAAGTTGTGGCTAAACAGCCCACGATGAAACAGATCTCAAGTGGGTTTTAGTTCTGTCTTTGCTACAAAACACAGTAAATGTCACAGTAAGAGTCCAATTTTGTGACCCCTATTAACTTTCTATGATGCAAACAATGACTTATTGCGGTCAGTGAACTTGGAGCGAGGGACTCAGATAATAGTCCTAAGGTTCAAGAAATGGAAAATGTGCCTTGGAGACCAAAAGAACTTCCTCCTTGGCGCACTCAGCTCTGTCCCACCCCACCTCCCTCCCCAGGCTCCTCTATTCCGGCTACAAAGGAGCAGGTGGGCTCAGGTGAGGACCTGCTCAAAAAACCCAGAGGTTCTCATTCTGGGCCATTGCTCATAGGAAGCAGCAATAGGGTCAGGAAAAGGAAAGTGTTTTCTTTAAAATTGCCAGCAGAGGGTGCAAGAATGCTCATAGGCTCTTAACGGCTATTTCTCGGAGAATTCTAGATGATCTAGAGGACTCCCTTGGTATACCCACTTAAAATTATGTGGCTTTTCACAACACAAAGCCAGCCATTTTGTGGACAATTATACAGACAAGCATCACATTCCCACACCACACTAGTCCTGGCGTGCTTGAGCTTTCAAACAATCTGCTGGCCCGGATTCCCCGGTGGGTCCAGTGCATGCCCTGCCGATACCCAGGTCATAAATGTGCCCTACTGGGAGCCTAGGAATTTTATCTTGTCAGGTTTCGCCCTCCATCCTCACTAAGACATCGGTACAAGTGATAGTAACTGTAAATCACCTAATTTTCCTCTAAAGTAAACTGCGAACAGTTCTATGGTACTTAGCACATTAGTGTGTGGAGCTAACACACCTAGTTTCAGAACATTCTCCACCCTCCAAAGAGACACTGCACTCTAAACCTTGAGCCCTGTCCTCACTTGCCTTCCAAGCCCATTCCCTGCCCCTGGCAACAGCCAATTTCTCTTTTTCTCTGGACTTAACTGTGTATTTCACGGGATCACACAGTATGTGAGCCGGACACCTGGCCTTCTTCTTTTATCTTTTTTTTTATTTTTATTTTTTTATATTAATCACAGGTTGTTTACTTTGTATCCCAGCCGTTGCCCCTCCCTCGTTCCCTCCTAATCCCTACCTTCCTCCCTTATCTCCTCCCTGCCCCTTTCCAAGTCCACCTGGCTTTCTTCTTTCAGCGTGCTTTGTACCTCTGTCAACAGTGTAGCACCAATTCATACACGATTTCTTTCCTTTTTTCATAGTAACAGCCCACCATATGTGAACAGAAAAATCTCTTTATCCATGTCCTCAGTGTTGCCAGACCAGATGGGCTGGCAGCGTCTGGGCTTTCATCTGTGTTTCCCTCCCATCTCCCGGGAAGAGTCCCGGGACTGATGTGTGCTGGCACATCTGGGTCTACCTGGGTTCTGGGGATTTGAAGTCGAGCTGTCAACTGGTGAGAACTTTTTCCTGAGCCCCCCCCCCCCCCCCATCCAATCTGTTGTTTGAGCCTGGGGAGCAGCCCCCTTTCTCCAGCTAACCTGTTTCACAGCTTTGCCTATGTTCTCACCTTTTTTTCTCTTCGTTTTCCTCAGTCTTGGTGGGAATGAATGTAGGTCCCCACACTTTGGGTTACCCTGTAAAAAGGTCCTTTCCCGGTTTCTACTTCCTAATTCCTTGGAAATACAGCTGTACCCGTTCCGTTCTGTTTTTCCTCTCCCTACTGTTAATTAAACACCAGACTAATGCAACACAGGGAAGGAAGCTTTCCTTTTGGCTCACACAGGAAGGCATGGCAGGGAGGAGCGCCAGCTCTGCCAGGGGGAGCATGAGGTGACACTGTCTGAAATCAGGGCACTCCTGTCAGGTGCCTATGACCTCCTCTCACCTTTTTAAAATTCAGTCCAGACCCCAGTGTGTGTCAAGATGTCACCCACATTCAAGCTGGCTCTCCCCCTTCTCAGCCCATTCTGACACACTCAAGAAATAGATCTCTCTGGTGAGTCTCAATCCAGTCAAGCTGACAATTAAAATCGATCACAACGAGAGAACTGTTTTACGGTCCTGTGGGCCTGGCGACGCCGCTATGAGCGCTGCGCACCATGACTGGAGGACTTGCTTCCAACTGACTTGGGTGTGTAACTGGAGAGGAGCTGTGTGATCGTGCAGTAACTCTTCAACCTTCCACGGGGTCACCAACCCTCCTCCCACGGTGGCTGAGCCACTTTCCGGCCCTGTCACCAATGTTTAAGCGCGCCCCTGACGCCGCGTCTTTGCATCATCAGAACTGTCCCAGGACGGGTCTGCGGACTCCCCACCGGGACGTCCAGGCTGGGAGAAGCTGCCCAGCCTTTTCCCGTTTAAGGCTGTTCACAGGAGGTCACTCCAGGGCCACCAAGGCACCTTCGCCACGTCCGCTCGCGGATCTCCATAAACACCTTTCCTAGAGACCCACCTAACTCCGGCAGAGCTGGGGCGTGAGGCAGAAGGAAGCGGCGGCGCTCCGACGCCCCGCCGAACCTTGTCCCCAGGCTTGCTCAGCCGCGCACAGCCCCGCCTCCGCTCCCACGCCCAGGCTCTGCCCAGACTTTGCCCAGGCTCTGCCCAGGCTCTGCCCAGGCTCTGCCCGGGCGCGCCCGGCGGGCCGGAGCCCATCGCCGAGCAGACAAAGGCAAAGGCGCGCGGCCCCTCCTCGGGGTTACTGCCGGTTGGCACCCGCCCCCGGGGTCACTCGTGTCCTCTCGGCCCACAGCGCCTGACCCCGCGTAGCCAATCAGCAGCGGCGCTGCGACACGGCCGGAGCCCGGTCCAATCAGGAGGCGCCGCCCCTGCAGCCTGCACCTTGAAGGTGCATCCTACATGGAGGCCGGAGAGCTTCCCGCCGAGGCTGTTTCTCCCTGTCTGGGGGACAGAAACGCGGAGCAGCGGGCTCCGTAAGGCCGGCTCTGTCGTGAGGCATCGGGCAATAGGGTTGGGTCTTAAGAGCTTGGGCATCAGCCGCACATTTCTGCGCGGAACTCCTACCACAAACTGGCTGATGTGACCAAGCTGTTTGATAACGCCACTGGACTCAAACAAAACGAAACAAACAAACAAACAAACAAACAAACAAACAAACAAAACTCTTCAAAATTCTACCCAGGACATCAAGAATCTCTCAAAAGTCCCAAAATGTTCTGAAGGCTTAGGCACAGGTAGTGGCCCCCGGGGGGGGGGGGGGGATCAATGCCTACTGATTCCTGGCAGCGTCCTTACCCTGCAGAGCCTACCCGTGGACCCAGGAGGTGTGCACGCTCAGGTCAGAGTGTGTGCGGATGTGTGCTGCAGGGTTAGGGTAGCCCGCAGAGTTGGTGGGAAGGCCAGTGCCATAATTTTTCCCTGAGCTCGGAACTTCCCTGTACGGGCGAGGGCTACAACTAAGCCCTTGGTTCAGAACTCAGTGCCGTTTTCCCGTTTCCTGATCCTGGGAGAATAGGTAAGCAGGATGGCATCGTGAGTGGTCATTGCCACCATGGCTCTCCCATTCTCTCCCGTGAGTGTTGTCCAGCCACCCACCGTGTGCCAGGGTCTCCCCGGGCGTGAATTCACCCTTACTGTTGAACTAGATAGTATTTTTCAGAGTGAATATATGTCTCACATATTATATATGCACGAGTGCCCGGTGCCCTCGGAGGCCAGATGAAGGTGTAGAGTCCCCTGAACTGCAGTTACAAACAATCGTGAGCCACCGTGCTGGTGCTGGGAATCAGGAAGAGCAGGCGATACTCTGAATCATTACCCCAACTCCTCAGCCCCACGTAATATTTTCTCTTGGGGAAAGGCAGGGACAGGATTCGGGCGTGTTACGTTAGGATCACGTGTGATGTGCGCAACATCGTATTGGTCTGCTTTGGCCAGTGCCTGCTCCTTTGTCCCTGTCCCTTCCACCTTCTTCTGTGCCTGGGGCTACCTGGGCCAGCAGCCTCCGCACACTTTGCCTCTTTTGGCAGGGGATCAAGGCGTATGAGGAAATGCAGGACTCGGCCATCCGATGCCCTTAAATCCACAGCTCTGGGCGACAGCCTACACAGTGAGGCTGATCCTGGACAGCCGCTATATAGAACGCACAGGACAGGTTTTCCGTTCAGCGCCTCAGCGCCTAGCTTGTTTCTACACTCTGAAGCAGAAATCCAGCTTCAGTCCCAGCGGTCCTGAATTCTACTCTGTGGTCCCAGCTCTGGTAAGTTCTGGGCATCTGAGAGCCATCTGGGCTATCTCTCCAGCCACGAAAAAAAAAAATCTTACTTGCATTTACCTGATTACCTCATTGTTGACAATTTAAAAATAAAAATTGTTCCTGGAAAGGAAGGCTACCCATCTTCCAAGTTGGGTTTTGTTATGGTTGTTTTGAGATGTTGCCACAATGTCTGACTCTGTAGTCCAGGCTGGTCAGGAACTCACTGTATAGGCCATCCTGGCTGTGAGCTCGACATCATCTGGCCTCTGGCTCCGTAGTGCAGAAAATACAAGTATACCCAACAACTCCAGGTTTAAGTAATTTTATGACAGGTCTGGATATTATAAAAAATTTTGGTGCAGGACCCCAGTAGCTCTTACCTCAAATCCCAATACTCAGGAAGCTGGGATGGTGAGATTCTAAGATGCAGGTCAGATAACACAAGGCCTGAGCTAAAACACAAAAGCAATGATAATTTCTTGAACCATATAAAGCATAAGGCATAGACAGCCACTTCCTCTGCTTTCTATTCCCGTGACTAAGACATAGCAAGCAAATTATTGTCACTGTGCAATCTCTTCTTAGTTGGACTCATAGTTGAAGGGAACTTTCCCTTCCAGCTAAGCCTACTTAATCTGGGCACTGAGACAGGGCCCATGCTTGTACTCCATTCTTCCCTCACCTACCAGGAGAACATCAGCTCCCTTGCTGCCCAACAGGCAGCTACTCTGTTGACATTCCACTTCTGACAGATTTCCAGCTCCTAGATGACCACCTCGACCACCACCATCACAAAGCCTCTCTCTGGGGGGCTTAAGAATGAAGGAGAGAAATTAGAAAAGATTCTCCAACAATGGGGAGAAAACATCCGCCCTGAAATGAAGGAAGATATCCACGACCCCACCTACCAGGATGAGGAGGGGCCCCCACCCAAGCTGGAGTACGTCTGGAGAAACATCATCCTCATGGTGCTGCTGCACGTGGGAGCCCTGTACGGGATCACCCTGCTTCCCTCCTGCAAGGTCTACACCTGGCTCTTCGGTGAGCAGCTCCCCTCGTCTTGAGCCAGTGTTCTTGGTCTCTCCCTTTTCCTTAGTGAGGTCTAACCCAGGTCAGTGGCCATGTGTTGTGTAGGATTTTCCATCCTTTTCCATTTGGCTCCAGAGGGATTGGCTGGGCTTGGGACAAGAGCTTAGCTGGATGGAGAAGTGTCAGTTCCGGGAACCCCTTAGCGTGGATGCCGAGCCTGTGGGCATGGTGGCTTGGAGGAACAGGCTTTTCTGTGTGAGTTCATTGTTCGTCTGCCTGCTCTGTCCCTGCCTGCCACAAGAGAAGTAGGCCCTCCCCAGGTACTGGACCAGACTACACATGAAGCCCAGTCAGGGAACAAAACAAAGGAAGATTGTACAGGAGAAAACAGAAGAGGGTTGTCCGTACAACTGTTTGAACCTCATCCCCTGTCTAGATGAGGCTGGTTTGCCCTGGATAAAGGCGGCATGGGCTCTATACAACTCAAGGGCACAGGTGTATGGCTCCTCTGTGCCATGCACATCTCCAGGATGCAGCATATGCTGGTCAAGATGTTCTTAAAATGAACAAGAGTGCAGAAGGGTTTCATGTTCCACTCCCCATCTGGCTTGCTATTGCCCATCTCATCCCTTCCGGCGCTGTGGAGGCGGCACTGGTCTTCCCTGTCCCCAACACACAGTTGTTTGGCAGACATTAGAAACTCGAGCAGCCCAACCTTGGGGCTATTATACTGAGGGAGACAGTGTGTTCCTGGCCTTCCTTAGCGCAGGCCCTCAGGGATTCACAAGCCTGGGCTGATGGCATTGCTGCCCCCGGCATCAACAACAGATGTGCTTTGCAGGTAGTTCGCTTGTGACCTCCCCTCCCCCAAGCCTGAACCAGGGAGAGTGAGCAGGACCTGTGTAGATTCAGGGGCTGCTCTGGCCAGTTCTCCTCAGGAAGACGCTGGGAGGTTGTCTAGAGTTGTGTCGGCTGTGAGTTCTTTCTGGGCTCTCTCTCTTGGAGGGTTGTGGTAGAAAAAAAGGCTAGTTGGCCAAATGTTAGCTCCATCTGCCCCAGTCCTTTTGGGTCTTGAGATCTCGACTCTGGAGCTTCATCCTGGAAGTGCCTCAGGAATGCAACTAGGAACGTGTCCAGCCTCCAGATCCTGCATCAGGGTGGCCTAAAGCACACTTTCAGGTCAGGGATATCGTGTTCCTGTCATTCCATGGTGTCACACTCCCACATGCAGGAGGGTGGTTTATCTGTAGGTCAGGCACCATGGGCCTGTTGAGGCAGCTATGGTGGCTGTCTTCTTCCTAAGTGAACCCCAAACCTGAGCCGCAGCGTAATGGGCCCAGAGCATGGGTGGCATTCTCCTGCGGATTATGGACTCCCCTCTGTCTTCCGCCTCCCTAGAAGGGAAGTCTTCATATAGTTTCTGCCCCTGCTAGTTCCTGTCCAGCTTGGGCCTCCTTATAGGCCTCATTCGGTTCGGTTCTGAGCTTGATGAAACTGTCTGTGTTTGGCAGGCCTCAGCTGTTAGCACAGGAAGTGGAATGGCATCCTGAAGCCAAGGTTGTTTTGCTCTCTTTTTCCTATCTTTCCATTAATAATCCATTATTTTTGGCTTCAGAAGGACATGGGACCATTTTTACAATGTGGGAAATCTCCAACCTTAAAGTTCTGTCGCCTTTGAGTATCCATTGTTTCCAGGAGTCCCTTGGAGTACTGTATAGAGTTTGTTTGTTCAACCAAGGTCCCAGCTTTTATGTCAGTGCTACCAATCAGAGGAACAGATGGCTACACTCAGTGCCCCGTTTCCCATCATGGATTAGACAACTCTTGACCTCTTTGAAGTCAGTGAGGTGGGACAATGCTGGAATGCTCTATTGTCAGGATGTAGTTGCTGGAGTTGGAGCCAGAAGAGATTGAATGCTGCCGGAAACTCTCGCTGCAAACCACGGTTCCACTTTTATCAGTCCCATGCTCCTGGAAAATCATACCACTTACATCATGTATCTCCTCAACTGTGATGTCATGGTAGTAGAGTCTAACCCATTTAAGGTATACAGTGACTATAGAATATTAATATACTTGGCGAGGCTTGAGCATCTGTGCAAATAGAACGTTATTCAGGGCTGTCCCTGGCATGGCCTCCTTCTATAGCTACAGTGATGACATGCTTTTGTGTAGCTGCTAAATAGTCACAGCCCTGCACTGCATGTGTCTCTTCTAATTTGGCAGTGCCTGGACTGATCTGGATACTGTTCTGAAAACACCCCTGTGTACGGGTCCTTAGCACTGGGGGAATTGTTGACAGCCTTTGAAAACTTTAGAGAAAGTTAGCTTAGCTCAAAGGACACAGTATCTGTCACAATGCTCCCTAAACCTGGCTTGTCCTATTCCCTCGACCTGCCTCCTCCTTTGCCCATCTCCATTTCTAGGTGAAGAGTCTGTGAGGTGATGGTATTCTGTACAAGTGATGAAATTTTTCGGCCATAGAGAACAAGGTGTTCCTGAGACCATTAGAAACACGCCAATAGGACAGAAGCAAATAAACTCATAAAATAACCTTCAGCTGGTTCCCGGGGAGAGCAGGGCATGAGCTTGCTTAGATCGCGCCTGTGTGTGATGTAGGCAGCTGTATCTGCTTGCACTTACAGTTCTTCAGAATGACCACAGGGCCTCTCTGCGCACATTACCACCTCAGCCAATCAGCTAAGGCTTGACTCTTCCTCTCTTCAGAGAGCAGCCTGGTCTCCTGGTCAGTTTTCTCACCCACAAGTCAAGTGACACATGAACATCCTGCCTGCATGTCCACACATTTGGATATGTCCAGTTTCTATTGCTTTAGTGTCAAAAGATCCTGCTTCTATCTGTAACCCTAGGATTCATGAGAAAAGAGGTCCCCACTCCAAGCCTTACAGGGACACAACGGAGCATCAGATAGGGTGTCCTAACGTTCTTCCCAGATGAACTTTGCTGTTGAAGACCCCCACTATTTTTTCCTGCAGTCTGTGTGTCCTATTTATTTTCTGGCCTGGGCATCACAGCCGGGGCTCATCGCCTGTGGAGCCACCGAACCTATAAAGCTCGGCTGCCGTTGCGTCTCTTCCTCATCATCGCCAACACCATGGCTTTCCAGGTAAGAGTCTGGCTCTGCCCAGCTATCGTGCTACTTTTACCGATGATCCAGGGCAGAGCAGAAGGACTCAAAGGCCTGAGAGGACCAGGCAGCCATTGCCTCTCCCAGTCTTCTGTGGCCATTTAAAAGAACATGCTTAGTTCTGAGGTTCACAGAACATGAGATAATCAGAGTCCCTGGGTAAGGAAACTTGAGGATAGGCTTTCTTTATTTCTTTCTTTTTTTTAAATCAATTTGTTTATTTTTTATTTACTTTTATGTACCTTGATTTTTCACGTCATGTATGTCTATGTGAGGGTTACGGATCCCCTGGGACATGAGTTACAGACAGTTGTGAGATGCCCTGTGGGTGGCTGAGAATGGAACTCTGGTCCCCTGGAAGAGCAGTCAGTGCTCTTAACTGCTGAGCCATCCCTCCAACCCAAGGAGACTCCAGCCAAGACTAGTGGGTCCTATGCTTTCATACAGTGTGACTGGTCTCTCAGCATAAAAAGCCATCGTGCATTAGACAGGCACCGACCCTGGTTTCCACCACCATCCACAAACATTTAACTTACACTTGGTGATGCTTGTCCCAGGGTCCCACTGCAAAGGACTGCAAACGAAGTGTTGCAGATACAAGGGCTCTTGTGTCAGATAGCAAGTGCAGACATTTCTAATGGCAGTGGCTCTGTGAGGCGCTGGGCTAGCATTTGGCATAGATGAACTACGTCTCCGAGATGTCTTAAGAGATGAGTACTGTTATTATCCCTCATTTCAGATGATGAAAGTGTGTTAATAATTGGTTTCATAGACCAGTGCCGGAGTATTACCTGTGGCTGTCATGCTGGCTAAATCAGCTCTTGAGGCTGTTTGAGGCATAAGTTTATAACATAGAAGAAAGGGAGTTAGAGAAGGGAGCTTCCGGGGGTATCAGGTTGCAGGCACCATTGTGGGAAAAGAGGAAAACGGAAAACAAAGTTCATTTTCTTGCATGTAAGAGGTTCTCAACTTACATCTATAATCATCCCTGCCCTAGCAGTTTACACCCTGAACACTCCTGATCTCTTTGTAGGGAAGAGGCTACTGTTATTGGTGTATAATTAAAGGGTTAGGAAGAGTCCCAAATAAGAGGTCCTTAGGAAATGTGCCCAAGCTCATAAGTTACATCCTGGTCTTGTTACTGGCTGAGCAACCTGTCATTGTGAAGGCATTGAGACAGAGCTCCCCACATCTGTATTCACAGACCAGCACTCCAGGCCCCAAGCCCACCTGCTTCATACCCCACGTTCAAGGATTAGGCCCTCCATTAGGACCTTGCCCTAATTCCTTGTTTGAAAAACTACTCTTATTTGCTAATGTAAGTGAGGGCTGTTACCCACCTCCCTCCTTTGTACCACACAATGTCAGGAAGCAACAGTGCTATTCCTGAGTCTGGACTGTGAGTTCCTTTTCCACATAAGTTTGGGCTCAAGTGTGGAGGAGAGGGTGCTTTTTTGTAGACAGCATCCCCAGGACTCTGTGAGTCGAACTGTGAGCCCCAGGCCCTCACAGACATCTAGGTCCTTGCCATCCCGCAGGAGGCCATCTCTTCTCACCGCTGGGTTCCTCTTTCCTGTCCTTCCAGAATGATGTGTATGAATGGGCCCGAGACCACCGCGCCCACCACAAGTTCACAGAGACGCACGCCGACCCACATGATTCCCGGCGGGGCTTTTTCTTCTCTCACGTGGGTTGGCTGCTGGTGCGCAAACACCCGGCTGTCAAAGAGAAGGGCGGGAAGCTGGACATGTCTGACCTAAAAGCCGAGAAGCTGGTGATGTTCCAGAGGAGGTGAGTGGGTGGGTGGGGATGGAGGTGGAGGTTGAAACCAGAAATGTAGCCCAAGGCACCTGGGGTTTAGAAACTCCACCTTTTCGCTTATAACTTGTAAATAAAAGCTGAGAGATTTCTGGGTTTGTGTATTTAAGGCCATCATTTCAAACTCATTTCAATGGCTCAGAGGCCATAAAGATACTTTACTGGTTGGTTTTTGTTTTTTTTTTTTTTTTTTTTTTGATACTTTACTGTTTTGTTTAGTTTCATGTCCTTTGAGCAATTTTCATGAATAAAATTAAGTGCAATTTGATCTAATGATCACTGGTCTAACTAGGATAGACACAAAATATAGCCAAGTCTTTCCCTCAAGGAATTTCTAGCCCGAGAGTCAAGGAACATGTGAAATAGTCATGTTACAAGGCAGAATACGCAGAATATTGTCTGTCCCTCAGAGGTACAGAGAGAGGGAAGTTGGCTCAGAGGAAACACAAAGGGAGGGTATTAAACACACACACACACACACACACACACACACACACACACACACACAATCATCAGACGCAATCAAGTCCCTTGAAATGAGGGTGTCATGCTCCGTATGAAGATGGAGAGTAGAGCAAGGCCTCCAAAGGGACCTTCGGATGATGAAGGACATTCAGTGGGCCTCCTGAATGGAAAGCAGAGAAAAGACTAGGAAGTGGTGGGAAGAAATGGAGCCAGGACATGCCACCATCTGTGCCAGTGACCTTGTCAGGAAAAAAAAAAAAAAAAAAAAAAGGAACTCAAAGGTAGATGGGCAGGGCCCAGGCAGCCGAACTGGCCATGAGGTTGTCATTTGCATAAAGAGCATAGTTTTGTGCTCTGTGGGGAAGAACAATGGGCTTCTTGTCAGGAGGCGGCCATCGCATACTTGACACACTGGCTACCAGTGGTGTGATCCTGCGAAAGTCACGTCACAGCGTGAGTCAAACGAGCATCTGCCCATTCTCTCCTGATGGTCTCACTCTTGCCCTTCACCCATACTCACAGCGGCGGGAGGAGAGCACTGTGGGCGTGGACACTCTGGGGAAATGTCAGAGGGACCTCTCCTTACCCAGTGCGTGCTCTCCCATGTAGGTACTACATACCTGGTCTCCTGCTCATGTGCTTCATCCTGCCCACGCTGGTGCCCTGGTACTGCTGGGGTGAAACTTTCCGACACAGTTTGTACGTTGCCACGTTCCTGCGCTACGCCTTAGTGCTCAACGCCACCTGGCTGGTGAACAGCGCCGCCCACCTCTACGGCTACCGCCCCTACGACAAGAAGGTTGGCGCCCGGGAGAATCTGCTGACATCCATGGGAGCAATAGGTACGTCAGCGCTCTGCAGCATGGCCACAACCGTTGGCCTACTAGTTAGGATTCTTTTGCTAAAAACCTGAGAGACCAGATAAGGTTTGTCTGTTTTAAGACAGGACTCACTCTGTAACCCAGGCTGACCCCAGAGTTACAAGAGTATACTGCCGCAGCCTCCAAAATACCGGAACTGCAGGTCTGAGCCAGCACATGAGGGTCCTAAATTTGTTTTCAATGAACATTTGTGTCTCAGTTCTTCTATCTGCTATTTATTAGCAGAGTACAAAGCCAGTCTGATGTATGCAGCAAGTTTCAGGCCATTCTGGGCTACAGAGTGAGACCCTGTCTCAAAACAACAAAAAGCTAAATCAATTATGTATTAAAAAAAAAAAAACCTATAAGAAAGTCAGGCAAAAAAAGCCTGCTATAAAAAAGAAAAGGTGAAAAACATCAGGTTCTGAAATGGTCTCCAAATGCCACATGTATTAATGCCCTTTTTAGACAGGGTCTCACTATATAGCCATGTTGTCCTGGAAAATGCTGTGCACACCAAACCGGCCTTGAACTCAGAGAGAACCACCAGCTTCCCAAGAGCTGGGATTAAAGGTAGGGGCTACTACACACAGACTATATTAAGCCCTTTTAAGTTTGTCATTCTCCTGTCACCTCTGAGTTGACCAGCATCTCATTTCAGTTAGGAAACGAAAGACCAGCACAGTAGGATTAGTAGGACAGACAGAAAGCCCAGTGTTTTGCACTTAATCATGCTGTGTAAAATGCAGAAAGAGTAGTTCTGACTTAGTTCACTCAACTTCAAGTGAACTGTTTTGAATATTTTTTCATCTTCCTGCCCTAGTTTTCTAAGTCAAGTATCTTCTACCTCTGAACATGCTCTTACTTCGATCCTCCTGAAATAAATTACTTTCACTCTATAATTATAAATTTTCACAGGCTCATGTGGCTTGAGATGCATTCTGTTTTGTAACCGGAAAGGTGAGACTTGTCCACATCCAGAGTGGCTGGCGGCTCTTGCTTGATCCCACTGAGTTTATCTGTCCTCTGGTCTGCTTACCTCAATCTTGGGTCTTCTCCAGCTGTTTCCTGTCATTCTAGATTCTAGGGAGGTTTGTTTTGTTTTTTGTTTGTTTAGTTTTTTTTGAGTCCCCCCCCCCCTTTGGCTTCTTGAATTTTGTCTCCTCCACTGACAGATGGTCATGTTATCTGAGAAAGTTGATCTCTGAAGCTTTCTTTTTTGATGTCCCAGTAGCTATACACAATCCTGCTTTGTTCTGTTTCAATCTAATACCCAGAGCCCTGAATGCAGAACTTACAATCCTTCGTTAGCAGCCTTTGCCCGGTGCTCACCCACCCACTTCTAAGTCTACAGTGTGGACAACCTGCTGTGCAGACAGAATACACACCCGCGAGGAACCGTGGTTAGAAGCATGTCTGTGTCAGAAGATCCCTTTGCTTTCTTATTTTTCATGTCACCCCTAATCTCTCTGAAGACGCTCAAGATCCAAATCTCTTAGTTGTTCTTGCTGCCGACTGTTGCTCAGGTCAGCGGTGTTTTTGTGGGAGTCAGAAAGAAGAGTTCTGCCAATGATCAGTAAGGGTTTTCGTTTTTCTACCACAGTAATTATCTTGAATCTAAAATATATGTATTTTCCTTTTAGTCAAAGCGAATGTCCATCCCAAGAAGTCTCAGAATATCAGCAGTTAGAAGGATCTCCAAAGCCAGAGGCAGATAAAACTCTACAAATTTGAGGCCAACCTGGTCTACAAAGGGAGACAAGGACAGCCAGGGCTCTGTTACACACAGAAACCCTGTCTCAAAAAACCAAAAGAGTGGCTCTGATTTATCAGTACCTCCCTCCCTCAAGATCAGAACTGAGAGCAGCTCCCTGTGAACTGCCAGCAGCTGAGGGAACTCTGGTCCTTGACCTCCTTTCCTTTTCTTTTGACTTTTGGCTGCTGTTTCCCTTTCTGTTGGACTCTCCCTCATTCACAGGGAATACCAATACCCTGAGAAAGGATGGGCTTGTTCACTGTTATAAGAAGCATAGAAACCCTCCCATGCCCACCAAAACACATGCATATAGACATAGACCTTCTGGAGTCTTGGTTCAGTATTTATGTTCCCTCTGGCTTTTTCCAAGGTGAAGCATTTTCCCAGGAGAATCATCTTCCCTCGTTCAGTTATCACGAGAGAAACATCCTCCCCTAAAGCTCCCATAAGTGGGATTGCTCAATACATTTAAGATGCTCTGAGGACACTTGTTTCCTTAGGGTGGGAGACACTGGGGTTATCTATTCAGTTAACAGCAGCACAGTTCTCTGAGGTTCAAGGTACCTTCTAGGTAAGAGGTGTATAAGAATGACACAGAGGCTTTTTAATATTTTAAAGCTTAGGCATTTTAGCTAGGCAGATTCCCGGCCAGCTTTCTAGCTTAGCCCGACTAAACCTGGCATTATGTCCTGCCTCTCTGCTCCTGTTTGTTCATTGCTGTGTCCAGCCGGCGACCCTCTCTCTCCTGGAAGTTCTGCCCTCCACTTTCAGCTTTCAGCTCTTTATTACATCTGATAGGCAAGAAAGGAAGGATGAATGTTCACAAGCTTTGACACTGGTGTTGGGCCACAGAAATCACAATACCAAGATCTGGTTAGTAGGCTGGCACTTAGCTCTCCACCCACTGAGCAGCCAACAGCCAACTGTACAAACACCCACCTTCACACAGTGTAACCCAGCAGAGGTGTGCAAAGCTGAAGCAGCAGCCACTGAGCCCCTAACTGCTCTCCTCGCTTCTGTTCCAGGCGAGGGCTTCCACAACTACCATCATGCCTTCCCCTACGACTACTCTGCCAGTGAGTACCGCTGGCACGTCAACTTCACCACGTTCTTCATCGACTGCATGGCTGCCCTCGGCCTGGCTTACGACCGGAAGAGAGTGTCCAGGGCGGCTGTCCTAGCCAGGATTAAAAGGACTGGAGACGGGAGCCACAAGAGTAGCTGAGTTCCTGTTCCAAATGTCGGCTATGACAAAGTTTAATGTTCTGCTGATAACCACAGAGTAGCACTACCAGAATGCTAAAGATGACCTTAACCCACTCCTGTACGGCCTTCCCCCCGCCCCCCAAGGCAGGGTTTCTCTGTGTAATCCTGGCTGTCCTGGAACTTGCTCTGTAGACCAGGTTGGCCTTAAACTCAGAGATCTGCCTGCTGCTGCTTCCTGAGTGCTGGGACTAAAGGCGTGTGCCACCACAGCTCACTGTGTACAGCGCTCTTTTAAAATGTTCAAGTATCAAAAGGCAACACCTTTCCTTCCTGATGCTAAGCCGATACACTTATCTTTTTATCCCATTCCTTCTCTTTATTTCTCTCACTGTCCCTCGGGTTAACGGTGCCATCCATAAGTCCTTTATTGTCAGCCTTTGAGAGCTTGGCATCCTTTGGATAGTCCAGTGGTAAAGTCTTTGCATTAGAAAACTCACTGAAGCACCCTACCTCAGGGTAGGTGGCTTTCTTTAGAGACATAACAATGCCTGGGTGGTGCATCTTAATCTTCGTGATCTCTGGTTTGCTAGGTGGGAGAGGAAAATAACTTTCTTTGATAGAGCTAAGAGAGCAGGCAAATTATGAAGGGAAAGAATTGCCAAGCCGGGTATGATTCTTAAGCAGGGGTGGTGTTACATGAAATGAGTTATAAGGAAGTCTTTCAGTGGTCAGACCCAGATGTGGAGCCCCTCTCACAGCACCCTTCCTTTCTCTTGTGAGCCCCAGAGCCTGACAATGTCAGAACACAGCAGCAAATCTGATATCTAAATGTTCTTTAGGGTAAGGCTCTAAAGCAACCATTTAAAAGAGGCTCATAAGGAGAGGCAGAGTAGAGAAGGGAGTCCCAGGGTTGCCTGTGGCTCCCATCTCAAGGCAGAGATGGGGAGGCTGAGGGGCGGTGCTGGTAGGACACTTCTCAGAAGTAACTCCCTGGAAGGGTACCCCAGGGGACTGTCAACTTCCTGAGCAAGGACTCGGTGTGTTGCTGAAACACTTCAAAGCCAGGTCGCCTCAAACTGCCTCTTGGATTGATAAAATCCAGGCTTCGGCCTACAGTGTTATGCCTAGTCTCCCATATCCCTTGCTCTGAACCAGCCCTTCCTGTAGGACTGTCTTGGGGGCAGGCTAGGACCCTCTGGTTCACCTCCATCTTGCTTTCCTGGCTCCAGTCCATCTTCCTCTTCTCCTGCTGATGTGCTCTGTTCCTGGACTTTTCTCCTCTGCCTGGACAGGAAGTCTCCAGTGTGAACTCAGGGCAGTGGGGGTCTGCCTCCTTGCAGCCCCCCCTTCTGTAAACAATGCTAGGAGCTGTCCCTTGTCTTGAGCAGACAGAGCTGGTTATCTTCTTCCTGGGCCTTCAGATCCTCTCCACATCCACCTCCAGGGCTTCTAACACCTGGAGGGCCCCAGACAAACTCCTGTCTGCCAAACTGTTCTAGAGCTGTTGCTAGCCCCTATCCTAAGTCTTGACCATCAAATGCTGCTGACGTTGCTCTGAGCCAGCCATGGAGCAGGCACCTGAAAGGTAACAAGATCAACCTTGGTTTTGGTATGGCATCCTGTTCTCTGCACACACTGGATGGTCTTTCTCCTTGGAAGACTTGCAGGAAAATCACAGGGCTGAGGCCAGTGTCAAATACATAGTGAGACCCTGTCTCAGAAATACAAAAGAAGGAAAGGCAAGATAGAATGAAAGAAAACCTGCACAAACTATGCATCTCCTAGGGGATGAGGCCTCAGAATCTAAAAGGAACTCTTATACCTCAGCAATAAAAAGACAAATAGTCCAGTTCTCAACTAGCAAAAGTGCTGGACCTCAGATTTCTACAAGGCAGAAACAGGAGTAGCCAATAATTACATGAAAAGGAGCTCTACATCAGTAGCCACCAAGGAAATGCAAATCAGAAACACAGTGAGTTAGCATCCCATACCCACTAGAATGGCTGTAATTATAATAATTAATTTTTAAAAAACAGCAAAAAAAATGTTACTGAGGATATGGAAAAATTGGAACCAATTGATAAGGGAAATTCTAAGATGGTGTAGCTGCTTTGAGAAACATACCAGCCATTCTCCAGAAAGTTAAAATGTGAGGTACCATGTGGCCTGGTAATGCTGCTCTCTGGTCTACCCAAGAGGATGAAAACAAACGTCCACAAAAACCCTTGTACATACGTGTTCACTGCTGCTCCATGGAATAGCCCAGCACAAAAGCAATACAAATAACCGTCCAAAACTGAGTGAACATATGCTGAAATTTACTCAGCCATAAAAGAAAACAAATGAAGTCCTGATCATGACAAAACACAGATGGAGCAGCAAGCACTGTTGTGAGGCCACGAAGTAAGACACAGAAGTCCATACGTTGCGTAATTCCTTTTATGGGAAACGTCCTGAACACACAAATCTAGAGTCGGGTAATAGACTGAGTTGCCACGGGCAACAGGACAGCAAAGGTAGTGACTATTAGTGGGCATCGTTTTGTAGGGACTGATTCAACTGTTTAAAAGTTACCTCACCGTGTTGGCTGAACAGCTTAAATCACAAAGCCTGTACGAGAAAATAATGTCTTATATTTTTATTGTTGTTACCATAGTTTATAGTTGAAACTCAAACCCAAATAAATTAATAAGGTGTTGGTTAAGTTAAAGTTTGTTTGTTTGTTTTTCAAGACAAGGTTTCTCTCTGTAGCCCTGGATATCCTGAAACTCACTGTAGACCAGGCTGGCCTCAAACTCAGAGACCCACCTGTCTCTGCCTCCCAAGTGCTGGGATCAAAGGCATGCGCCACTGCCACCTGGCAAGTTCAAGTTTTTTATTAAGAGAAGCAATCACAAGTGCCACCCATATTTCCCTGGAGGATGACCAATCTAGTGAAAGCTTGACAAAAATAAAAAATAGGAAAAGAGAGAGAAGCAATCACACTATACTCTCACCATTGCAAAGATTAAGCTCTTTAATCTCAGGCTGTACAGCAAGTCACAGGAAAGTCAAGTCTTGCTGCACCTGATTACAGAAGCAAAAAGAAACCCAGCTTCCACCTTCAACATCAGTCTTCAAGGCTTAGGCCACCGCAAACACACATTCTGAGAATCACTTTCTGAGTCCACTAGATGGAAGGCACAATCTTAACAGCCTCGGCATTTCTCGGGGGTGGGAGGGTGGGGGGAGGGATGCTGCAGGCTAGAGGGACTGTCATCTGATCAGATCAGCAGCATGTGCTGTGACTGCCTGACCTTGACTCGCCAGCAATCATTAACTAAGGAGATTACAGGTCTGCCTCTAGTCTGATCTTATGGACACATTTTCTCAACTGAGCTTCTCTTCTCTCGGCTGGCTTTAGCTTGTGTTGACATAAAACTAGCCAGCCTACCCAGTTATCTCCAAAGGCAAAACCTGGTGGCATGGCTCTCCTCCCAGGCTGGCAATGGCTGAACTTGTGTCTACCTCAGCACAAGATTCTGTAACAGCCCATCAAAACGATCAACCCACACCCGATCGTAAGCGCTGCAGAAGCTATCCTCCCTTCGTTCTCTTCATTTTCCTAACATACTTTAACCTCCTGTATAGTTCTGAGCTCCTCAAATGCATCTTTCTCTACTGGAAATGCCTCTGATCAGTACTCAGTGATGTGAGGCAGAGATCTCGTGACTTCTTTACATCATGTCTCCATGACAAACTATAGGAAACACCAGGGTCCTACTCAGTTTCTATGGCACTGGCAAAGTGCTGGCTCTTGAACACCGAGTTTCGGACAAATGCCACAGGTTCCCAGATCTATTTGGGATTCTATTCTGGGATTGCTACAGGAAGTCGATCCTACCTCTTCCACTGGGAATACTCTGGGCTTCTTCAAGCTACCGGGAGCTCCTAAGGAAGCAGTATGTGCTGTGCTGACTCAGGTTGGCTGTGGGCCCAGGCAAAGGCCTGGTCAGAAAGGACAACCAGGCCTTTTCCCCTGGACCATTTCTCATATAGGAACAGTGAGTAGCCTAGGCCAAGCCAGGCTATAACAGACACTGTGAGGCCCTAGAGAAATGAGAAAAAGGAGGAAAGTGACTGTGAAAGGTAGCTTTGTTTATTCCACATATTTCCATGCTTAGCAAAAGTGGAATTTCACAACATCAAATGTAAAAGCAGCCCAAAGTGTGCAATCCAATGCATTTGGTACATTCACAATATTGTGTAACTGGCATTTTCTCTAAAACATTTTCTTTTCTTTTGCGTAGTCTTCGGTGTCCTAGAACTTGCTCTGTAGGCTGGCCTCAAACTCACAGAGATCCACTTGTCTCTGCCTCCCAAGTGCCGGAGGCACCACAGCCTGCTAAAACATTTCATCACCCAAACCTCTCATTCACCAATTGACACCTAATCTTTTCACCCAGAAGCCAGCCTTTTCCCCGGCGTTCCCAACCAATGTGCTGTCTGTAAGAATGTACTTGCCTTACACTTCATAGATATGGAATTAGACCATTTATGACCCATGTGTGCTGGCCCACTCCAAGCACTATGTTTTGGGCAATCGTCCACTGTGTAGCATAAATCAGTAGTGTTATATTCTAGCCTATTAGCATACCAAACTGTGTGCTGGCTTCTAGGCTCACTCAGTACCTGTGCCTCCTCTCAGCTCTTTCCTACCCTAACCGTCCCCAGCTCACGCCCCATAGCCCTGCCATTTTGGCCAGGCACCCTCATTGCCCTCTTGGCTCTTGGTCATCTTGGGTCCCTCTCTCATGTTCTCCCCCTTGTTCTCCTTTGTGGCCCGATTCTCTGCTGGCCATGATTGGTCTCCTACTTTCTCTTCCTGCTCTGGACTCTTCCAGATGCCTCTGGCTGTATCCCTCATATCCACAATAAACACCATACCCGGGAGCGGTCACGAACCCATTTCATTCAGGAGGCTTCACTCCTCGTGGTTGCCGGTCGGCCATTAACGAGTAGAGCACAGGCAGGGCAGCAGCGCATCTACCGGTGAACAGCTGAGTTGGCTCCACCTTTTGGCAAGTGTGAAAAGTGCTGCAAATATTTGCCCACAAATATTTGGATATCTGCTTTCATTCGATTTGTGGACATATCCAGGAGTAATTTGCTTGTATGCAATTCTATTTAACTTTCTGTGGGGTTACCAAGCTGTCTTCCAAAATGCCTCAGCCATTTTCCCTCCTTCCAGGAAAGACACACACACACACACACACACACACACACACACACACACACACACA